GAACTAGAAAATGGTTCAATATAAACACTCCACTTCATGTCAGTATAAAACGTGAGACCAAGATGTCGCTATGAATTGCTCCATTGGAGGTTAGCACTAGCCATGCTGATGGAGGACACAATGGGTTCTCTCTGATGATTAAACGATAGCAGTTTTGTCTTGCTGGTTTTAAAATGTACTAGCCATTTCTTGCCCCAGTAAACAACTAATTGGAAGTCATTTTCAAGAGAAAATTCCAGGTTTTTATTTATTTATATTTATTTATTTATTTTTATTTTTTGCAATCAAATTATGTGGATATTGTAATCATTCATAAAAATGTATCCAATTGTAGAGCGTAAAATTATATCCATTTCTGCGGAAGTCAATCAGTGTCTGATCCACCCTGATTGGGTTTACCTTCTCCCTATAATGGAGTTTTGATGCTGAAAACCCGAAAGACCTGGTTATAAAACATCACTGAGAAAACATACCCTGCTTATGGGAAAGCGTATTGAACTATAATCACTATTGAGACCTATTTCTGTATTGTTTAAGTCTCTAGTTCTATAAAGTTCTATATATATATATATTATATTTATAAGAGTTATATTTATATTTATATAAGTTATATATATATATATTATGGCCCTTTTGAAATATTGCCTTGTATCAGATTTTTATCAAGCGAATAATGAAAATTATCCATAATCTTAAACCTGCGAATTTTACTCAAAGAAAATACTCCTAAAAATTTACAAGTAGACCGATGTGTCGACTCATTTGATGTCCACTGAGCTATCTCGCTGAAAACTGGCCTAAAATACAAGTAATATTCAACTGGGTAAAGCCTTGCGCATCAACTCAGACAAATAAGAGCTTTTTGATGAAGATTAATTGCTGTCGACTCCACTCAGCGCTCGAGCCTGACGTATCTCGTTATCAAAATTATGATTTCTTTTAAAAGAATCTTGAAGCAGTCTATTTGAAAATCGATTATGGACATTAACATATGACTACAACTCTATCAATTCTTAGGCAAAAAAGTAACATAACTGATTTTCATAATTCAGATTTTCAGATTGAGAAATGAACAAGATTTCTTACAAGTAGATACATGCTATACGAATATATTTGCTATATATATATATATATATATATATATATATATATATATATATATGCATTAGGTACCTCTAATCATTCGCTGAAAAACAGCACACCATGATAAAAAAAGGCCCCAAACTAAATATGCAAATTTTATCATCAAAATGCTTGTTGTTATTAAAAAAAAAAAAAAAGACCAAAGTATCTTGATTATTTTTAAAAAAATTTAAATCTTTTCTCGCACATTCAAAATTTTTGTCAAAATCTTTTTCTTCCAGTAAAAAAAAAAAACAAAACACATAGATTTGGAAATTCTTGCAAAAATAAAATTATTTTCGGAGTTTAATGAAATTTATTTTTTAAATATATTTTTTCAGAAAATCTTTGCATCACCTGCCTCACCCCCTTTTTTAATTAATGAAATTTCCAGAAATTAGAATCTTCTTCATATTTATATCAGTTAAATGCACAGGACTTCGTGGAGAATTTATATCATCAGTTTTTCTTTTCAAAGAGAAATCTCATTTTTCCAAAAATCTACACTGAATCGTAAAATAAAAAAAATGTAATAAAACTGTAAAAGTCGTTGTTCCATTAGAAAAGCTTTTAAGAACATTATCATCTTAAGAAATAAACATTTTTCCATAAATAATAAATTTTTACAAGAACTGTTTGGCTTTTTAAAAATCTTATTTAGAATAATTTATTAAGGGGGTAATTAATACTGAATGTTAAAGATTTAATATCTTTAAAAATTCTCTATTAATTTCACCCTTTTAGATGATAGTGTTAATAAGAAAAAATATATTTACTAATCCTAAATGGAAAAGCTTACTACAAATCTTCAAACACCGATATTTTTAAAGAATTTTAATTATTTTATGCATAAACGTATCGATTTTTTTTTATATACGGGCGACTATACACGGCATTATCACCAAAATAAGAGAGATAACTATAGTAAATCTAAAAACAAAACTATTTAAGATTCTATAAAACATTAGATCACAGAAAATATTTTCTTAAATGTTTAAAATTACTGAGGACTTAAAAATGATATGTAAAAGGCGCTCAAATTAATAGTTATTTTATTAATGCCTAAATCCCTCATAGATACACATTAGATAAATATCAATCTGTCACCAAGCTGTCAAATCCGTCAACTCATTAAATGAGTTGGGATAAAAAATACATTTCTGTTATATTTTAAATTTAAATTAAATAATATTTGTTTCAAATTAGATTAATTATACTTGAAATCAGCTAATATTTCTCAAATAATGTTTTAAAAAATTATATATTATTTTTGATTTTTTTTAACAAAGAGAATTACATTGCTATGAAAGACGTCTAAAAAAGACACAAATCAGTTGGTTTAGCAAAAAACTTCTTCCAAACAATTGAAGTTAGGTTGGGTATTGAAATGTACCAAAATATTTTTGTTTAAAGTAAATATTAAATTTTATCTATAGCTTAAAAGTAAAACCAAAATAAAAACTCCCAGAAAGATATTTCATTTTAAAAATTCATTTTAAACCTTAGATATCGTTTTTATTAGGTATCTATATATATATATATATATATATATATATATATATATATATATAGATAGATAGATAGATAGATAGACAGATATACGCACATACACTCAAAAATTATGTGTGTGCGTGCGTGTGTTAGAAAATTAAATGACATATATTGCATCTCACATAGCAACTCTCCTCTCCAACTCGGTTTAATTTTAAAAATCATAGAAATGTGAAACTGATAAAGGTACTCAAAATAAATACTCACTTTTCCAACTTGGTTTACCTATATTTTCATTCGAGTGGAGCATATAAAATCTTACTTAGAGAGAGAGAGAGAGAGAGAGAGAGAGAGAGAGAGAGACAAAGAAGAGATTTCTAATTAGTATAAACCCTATATTTAGTGTGAACATATGAGTGATGAAAAATCTCATTTTTAAACAGCGAATATATATATATATATATATATATATATATATATATGTAAGCAAATATATGGATATAGATCCGGCAGTATTGAAGAAAAATATACGGAAAAAAACATTATGTTTTGATTAGTCTTACTCTTATGTCCATCGTCTTTTCATGTCGAATTAAATATAATCTAATGTTAATTATGTTTTATGAATATGTCCTGAAGATGGTCTATTAGACCGAAACGTCCAACGTTGACATTATATTAACATTAAAACAGCATAATTGCATATTAGGATTTTTGTTTGTTTTTTTTCCGTATATTTTTCTTCATATATATATATATATATACAGTGTATCACAAAAGTGAATACACCCCTCACATTTCTTCAAATATTTAAGTATATCTCTTCATGGGACAACACTGACAAAATGACACTTTGACACAATGAAAAGTAGCCTGTCTGCAGCATATATAACAGAGTTAATTTATTTTTTCCCTCAAAATAACTCAAAATATAGCCATTAAAAGCTAAATCCCTGGCAGCAAAAGTGAGTACACCCCTAAGAAACTACACACCTTAAAAGTGAGTACACCCCTAAGAAACTACACCCCTAAATGTCTAAATTGAGTACTGCTTTTCATTTTCCCTCCAAAATGTCATGTGACTCATTAGTGTAACTATGCCCATGTGTTCAAGGGGAGCAGGTGTATTCAAATTTGTAGTGCAGCTCTAACACTCTCTCTAACCGGTCACTGAAAGTTCCAACATGGCCCCACATGGCAAAGAACTCTCTGAGGATCTTAAAAAACGTATTGTTGCACTACATAAAGATGGCCAAGGCTACAAGAAGATTGCCAACACCCTGAAACTGAGCTGCAGCACAGTGGCTAAGATCATCCAGCATTTTAAAAGAGCAGGGTCCACTCAGAACAGGCCTCAGGTAGGTCGTCCAAAGAAGCTGAGCGCATGTGCTGAGCGTCACATCCAAATGCTTTCTTTGAAAGATCGGCGTAGGAGTGCTGTTAGCATTGCTGCAGAGATTAAAGAGATTGGGATTCAGCCTGTTAGTGTTCAGACCATACGCCGCACACTACATCAAATTGGTGTGCATGGCTGTCACCCCAGGAGGAAGCCTCTTCTGAAGGCAATACACAAGAAAGCCCACAAACACTTTGCTGAAGACATGTCTTGTTGACAATATTGTTATATTTTTTTTCTTTTATTTTTACGAATTGCATTACCTGACCTTTTAAAACCACCCACAACATATATATATATTTGTGTGTGTGTGTGTGTGTGTGTGTGTGTGTGTGTGAAGATAGATAGATAGATGTGTGTTTGTTTCAAATTTTCAGGCCCAAAGATTGTGTTTAAGCATGAAAAAGATTCTTACCACTCGGTGTTGATATCAATATCCACACGTCATATAATTCCCTTACACTCTAGCCCAGGTATTGAACACACATACCCTATAAATAGAGTATATCTTAAAATTCTATTTTATCACACACACACATATAATGCAAATACAGTCGGCGGTGGGGGGAATATTCGTACACTGGAAAAATTGTATTTTTATAAATGTAAAAGCCTTAACTAAAACAAATTTTGATACATTTTATGTGTAAAGATACATTTTATTTAAAAGAATAGTAATAAACTTAATTAATTCTTATTCTAACAGAAATTAATGCATTTTTTTTCATTTTAACTGATGAAAAAAGTATTCGTACAAAACAAAAAAGTATATTAACTTAATTTAATACTTTGTGGAACAGTCTAACCCCATAGATTAAATAAAGCGTTCAGCTTAGAATTCCCTTTAGGTTACCCAGCCACCTTATATACATCTGATGAAGGCCAGTAGGGATAGCGACCGAAACGTTTTGATGACAACAGCAAAGATAAGGACAAATGTCCGAATATAAATAGTGCAAACATCATCTACGTTAATCCTGTTTCGGGAGGCTTACGGCCACATCAGGTTGAAACACCGGTTCCCGTACGATCACCGAAGGTAAGCAACGTCGATCCTGGTCAGTACCTTGATGGATGACCGCATGAGCATACCAGGTTCCGTAAGCTTGGATGTGAGGGTAGTGTAATGGTTAACGGTTCAGAATTGTTAATAGAAGAGCTGAGTTCCAATTCCAGTTGGGAATGTTATAAGCGCAAATACCTTTTGGAAAGGCATGAATCCACATCTCCCCACCCAGTTATCGGTTAATCAATATCATTAAATCTCTATTTCGTCCCCAAAAAAATGTTCTTACAATTTAAAAATCTGATATATATATATATATATATATATATATATATATATATATATATATATATATATATATATATAGTATTAATTTGAAATACTGTCAAAGAGGCAACTTAAAGCCGGAACTTCCACAGTATGTCGAACCTTTATCTGCAGTCGTTGCGAAAGGTTATTCTTCTGAAAAGCAACGATTATTATAACGACTAATATACAATAGATCCAGAACCTTATTTCCTAAAATGAAATATATATATATATATATATATATATATATATATATATATATAGTATTAATTTGAAATACTGTCTTTGATGTAAAATTGTGGGTTTTTTCATCGGTTTGCCGATAAAAAAGGCATCTAAGACAAGCAGGTTTTTTGGTAAGATGCTCAATATCGAAGATAGTGATAGAGCATTAACAGAATTAATATTAAAAATTCTTTTCACTTATCTTAGGTTTACTTCACAATTTCGTGGCTATATAGGTATAACCAATCGTCAGAACAGAGTTAATGTGCTGTAATTTTTCGATTCTCCTGTACTTTTATTGGTGTGAGTGTGTTATATATTTGCTTTCGCTTTGATAGGTGGTGATAGATCTTCCCCTTCCTTCCTCATTTTTTGGTACTTTTTCTCTTTTATTTATTTATTTTTCTCTTTTATTCTTTCTTCACCGCTTTCGTTGGTCTATGGTTTATTGTTTTCCAATTAATTTAGGTTATGGTTAGAATTTGTGTGTATATGTATCTCTGTGCAGGTGTGTGTTTATGCGCGTGCCCATATATGGGCACGCATGCACGCATACACACGCACAAGCATGTACGCACACACACCCTCACACGTATATGTTTGTGCGTTGTTTAACTGTGTGTGTCTTAGTGTTAATTGTATATGCATTTTTTTTATTAGTGGGTTGTATTATTTCACTTTAATTAGTGTTTTAGTATATTTTAGTAGCTTGTATTATTTAACTTTATTAAATGTTTACACTTTCTTAGTGCTTGATTTTCGTGTTTATTTGTGTGAAAGAACAGTTTTTTCTTGGTGACGTTGTTAGACAATTAATTGTTTCTTTTTGTGCAGGTGTGTGTTTGTGCGTGCGTCCATGTATGCACACGCATGCACGCATACATACACACGAGCACGCATGTACCCATCCGACCGCATGTGTATGTTTGTGTTATCGTGTATGCGCGTCTGTGTTTTTGTGTTTGTGTATGCGTTTGTGTTAACTGTACTATGCGTCTAATTGTGTGTCTGTGTTTGTGCTAACTGTATATGTATTTTTAGTGGGTTGTATTAACGTTACTTAGTATTTTAGTATATTTTAGTAGGTTGTATTATTTAACTTTATTTAATTCTTTAACATTAGTGTTTGATACTTGTGTTTAGTTGTATGAAAACCACGCCAGTTGTTAATTTTTCAGTGATTTATGTTTAGTATGCTACTTAACTTATTGTTTTAACCATTTTAGCTTCGAATATGGTTCAATTTTTATGTGTGTATGTGTGTGTGTGTTTTTTGTACGTGTGTGTATTCCTGTGCGTGCCCTTGCATGTGTACGCATGCATGAATACTTATAGGTAAAATTACACGCGTATACATGCCCGCACGTGTATGTTTGCGTTTTCTTGTGTGTGTGCTTCTGTGTGATTATGTTTGCGGGTGTGTTTATGTGGGTGTGTTTGTACGCACGCGCTCGTGTATGAGTTATCGTTTTTTTATTTTTGCGTTTTATAAGGCGTGTAGTTGTGGTGATTTGTATGTTGGGTTTTATGTGCATTTTTGTATGGTTGTGTGTTCTTTTGTTGGTTGTTATTTATTGTTATTGTTCTTGTTCTTTTCTGGATGGATTGTGTTCAGGATTGCTATGGATTAGGTGTTAGGTATTGTGGTGTGTATTTGTATTGTGTTGCGTTTTGTATTGTATTTCTTTCTTTTCTTTTTATATTAGTATTTAAGTAGCAGAGTAAATGCTTATTTAAATGTCACCTGATAGGAGCACATATATCCACAGTAAGATTAGTCCGTATCACATTCACAGGTGAGTCGGTGCAAACATTTTCACTGGAAGGTTCTTCTTAAAAATTAAAAAGAAAACAGAGTGTATATTTTCGAACTATTGTTCCCATCTTGGTTGACATAGATCTTATTACAAACACGACCTTTCGACCAAGTACACTCTGGTCATCATCAGATGCCCATTGATTGGTTGATATCGGATATCTGTTGACTATTGTGATATTTTTTTTGCGTTTCGTTCCTACTCATTTGTTATGTCACTACCAGATCCAAGGATCGAACTCATAACAACTAGATGACAATAACGCAACACAAACTCCAATATCCGCTACGCCAATGTCCCGAAGATGGTTCTTGACGTTAAGGGGGGGGTTCGTATTTGCAGTCTTTTATAGTCAATGTTAGATAATTTGGTTATGATGACTGGTTCGTACCGCTTTTCATTGACTGAATCTTTGTCGGAAAATACATTTATACCTTCTTGCCAGGTAGGTTATAAAAATATGGCACGGCGAGGAGGTCGAGTTTTCTTCACTTCCCTGGGGAGAAACTAGAAGAAATCCTGATATCTTTAAAATTGATTAACCGCCTGTGCGTACGTGATATCGATTCTGCACCTGCAATAATATGGAGGGGGCGAGGGAGACAAATTCAGTAAAATAATATGAAAAAGTTTTTCACTTATCTTAGACTTACTTCAGAGTTTCGTGGCAATATAGGTATAACCAATCGTCAGAACAGAGTTAATGTGCTGTAATTTCTCGATTCTCCTGTACTTTTATTGGTGTGAGTGTGTTATATATCTGCTTTCGCTTTGATAGATGGTAATCGATCTTCCCCTTCCTTCTTCATTTTTCATAGACTGAATCTTTGTCGGGAAATACATTTATACCTTCTTGCCAGGTAGGTTATAAAAATATGGCAAGGTCAGGAGGTCAAGTTTTCTTCACTTCCCTGTATTGCTCACGGAAATTGGCTTTCCCAGACACCATAGTTCGGGACACAGTGTTTGGCATGGGGGATATAGGGACAACAATGCAGGACGAAACAGTGTGGAAAGGGATCATCAATGGAGTTCCGATCAACCATAGGGAGGTCAAAGGAGGAGGATGAAATTTAATTAACTGTAATTAGCCTGGCATTTTGTCATTATTTTTTTAGAGTACTTGATATTTTTAAGCAGTCACTTATATGTGTGTGGTACTTAGTGGAAAGTGCTCAATATCTGAGACAGAGCTAACATATCTAGCCTTATAGATATTAGTTGGTAACTATCTAAAATTATTTACTTAGTTTGACGCAAGGTCAGAATCACTTAAGAGTAAGCGATGTTTCTAAGCGTCACTGATCTAAAATTATTTATTTAGCTTAGTTTAGCTTTGCACAAGGTCGAAATCGCTTAAAGTATTTGATGTTTCTAAGCTGTCTCCAATCTAAAATTAATTCTCCAGAACATTTGTTGGAGATGCCATGAAACGCTTAACATAATTTACGGAGAACTGAGATCAAAATCTCTCTTAAGCTCAAACAAAAAACAATTACAGTTTACCGGCCATTGCCACCTAGCGGACAGGGAAATCGTCTCATACTTACTCCTATGTCATCCTTCTGGAAGTGTCTTCTCACGAAAATTGACTTTCCCAGACATTATAGCTCGGGACTTAGCTTTGGGAATTTGGGAATTGGGGATCTGGGAACAGCAATGCAGAACCAAACAGTGTGAGAAGAGATTGTCAATAGAACTCCGACCTGACAGCGAGGATGATTATGATGATTGCTCACGAAAATGGTTTGCGACTCCTAGTTTAAAGACTGTCTGAAAATATCCCTTAATCACATCGATAGTAAAAGCGTAATTCTTCGTTCTGACCACGCAGTTTAGCAATGGAACCACACAAAGAAGCTCTGTGACTGCCGAAGAAAAGTGAAATGGTCTGTGCGAAAGAGAGACAATATGACCGTCGATGTGTGTCACTTGTGATGTGTGCTCTTGTATTCGCCTTGTAATGGCCGGCCTTAATTTTCACCCGTTGCTTTTCATGAAAGCCGAGCGGATTCTGCTTTTGAAACATGGTCAGACCTTGGTCAGGAAGACTTAAAATACAGGAAACAGAGTAAGTACCACCTTATAAAACACTGGACAAAAGAACGTCTGCTCCGAGTGCAGAACGCAATTTTAAGTCAATAGCTGAACTCACATTCCATTTACGCAGTCTCAAGGCATTGAAAAAATTAGAAGTAAAAAATTTCGGTGGCCGTCATTACTATAGACGTTTCTTTCTAAATACATGTTGGTTTTAAAATATATTATAGGAAAGTACTCTCTCTCTCTCTCTCTATATATATATATATATATATATATATATGTATATATATGTGTGTGTGTGTGTGTTCGTGAGTGTGTATATTTGAAATGTGTATGCATATAAATATATATATATATATATACAAAGAAATAATCACACATAGAATAAATATTAATGTTATTATTGGCGACATCCATCGCTAGTAGTGTATAATGTGATTATTTCTTTGTATATAAATTATATGCTGCCTAATGTTTTATGTTTTATATATATATATATATATATATATATATATATATATATATATATATATATCAGTGATATCGCCGCACAGTATCAGTGATAGAGCTAATATATTTTGGATTGATGTGAGTTTGTGACCCTGGGTTTCACGCTTTTGCGATCGTCAGACCAACTCTCTCTGTGTGTGTGTGTGTGTGTGTGTGTGTGTGTGTGTACTTTGCTTATCACTGGTAACGTTGTT